CGGCCTAATTCTGACCACATTACTCACCTAGTGCCGATTGGTCTGTAAAAATATGGCCGCTCTTCTTATATGCCTGATGTGCCTAAAGGCGTGAAAGGGGATTTTGTTTTTTTCTTGCTTTAATTGAACTCAACAAAAACAAGTTGCATTTAAGTCCCATCCACACATTTCAGATATTAAAAGTATTTAAACTTACTAAATCTAAAAAGGTATATATATATATATATATATACTAATTGGGAGCTTCCTTCGAAGTCGTAGTGCATCTGCCTGAGAGGCAAGGAACCAGCAGTCTGCACACAAATGAGTCAGATCTGTAAAACGGATGCACACGCAACACTCAGGTTTTGGAACAGGGCTGCTGTCCAGAAGTGGACGAACAACCAGAACTTTCCGCCAGAGTTTACAGCTGGTGACAGCGAAGAAGAAGAAGAAGATATATTTATAAGTGTGTTTTATTCTTAAGGTAATTAGTAAATTTTTTTTTAAAAAAAAGAAGGGACAATTGGCTGTTTACTGCAGTAACGATAGCACCACTGGGCACGCCTCACAACGGGACTGTCCTGTGAAGACGGAACGAATGATGACCCTATATAATTATATATTATCACATATCTCTGAACAAAACCTAAAATACTTACGTGCACAGTCCATAGCGACAGACTAGCCATGCCGTCCTAAATCCTTAGGCTCAAAGATCCCTCCTGCCTTCACCGCAGAAGTGGCAGCAGTGTTGCCACTTTTCTTAGGAAAAAAAAAAAACACACATCCAAAGCGGAGTCAACAAAATATCTAAAAACATCTAAATTTGCGTTGAAAACATCTAGAAAAAAAACATCCAAATGGAAAGAATCACAAATTACAGTTAGATGTGATAAATTCACTCAAAATGAAAAACATATAGAAAAACATCTACCATCTATCGGTAGACAGGCCAAACAATTTCTTGAGGCCTCAGAGATATGGTTTTACAGAAGAATGCTTAAAATTCATTGGACAGCCAAAATAGAGCAACAAAGAGGTTTTGAAAGAGGCGGGAGCCCAACTTATCACAGACATCAGAAGGAGACAGTCATCATTTTTCGGCCATGTTATGAGAAGAAGGAAAATAGAAAATGTGACCACTGGAAATATCTGTGGAAGGAGAGATAAAGGAAGACAACGAGAGAAGATGCTTGACAGTCTTGTTGCATGGCATGGAGGTGTGTTGGCACACGAACTGATACATGCTGCAGGAGATCGTAGATTATGGAGAGGCATGATCTCCCACGCCAGTCGACAAGGCACCTGATGATGATGATCTAATCGTCAAAAACGCCATCTAAATGCAAAGGAAAACATCTAAATATGGATGTAAAACATCCAAAGTTGCAACACTGAGTGGCAGATACAGTCAGTAATGACGGTACATATGACAATAAGTGCCCCTTGAGCTCCGTCATCTATAAGTATATATATGGGGGAATAGCTCCCACTTTCTCTAATGATTTCTTTGCTGCAGCGCCCCTGGTCTGTATGTATCCTACGTTTTGAGCCAGCCCCAGGTCGGTACAGCGTCTAGTAGGTAATCCAGCATGACGTGTGTGTGGCGGTGCAGCCGAGGTTTTGTCCAAAGCACGCGGACACGTCGGGGCGTGGAGGCATCGTCGTAGTTGTAGTTGTGCAGATGTCGTTCTTTCTTATCTCTGAACCAGCCAGTATGGCGTCTGCATTTGTCCTTGCCTTTAGAAGCCCGACGACAACAACACTTGTCTTGAGGGCCATAGTGGTCGATAAAGTAGTAGTAGTACTACAAGCCTACTGCTAATAGACTTGCCGCGTTAGGTGTCGGCTGACGAGTAGCAGCAGTATTTGAATGTTATCACAACGGTTGTAGTAACATTTGAATCTGTTATCACAACAGTAGCGTTGTTATTTGAAGGAGAGACCTTGAGATGACAACTCAGTCACAGTGGACTCAGCGCATGTTTTACATCATAACTTCAACATTGCCATCTTGTTTCACATTATAACTTCAACACTACTATCTTGTTTCACATTATAACTTCAACACTATCATCCTCTTGTACATCATCACTTCAACACTATCATCCTGTTCTACATCATAACTTCAACACTATCATCATGTTTCACACTATAACTTCAGCACTACCATCCTGTTTCACATTATAACTTCAACACTACCATCCTGTTGTACATCATAACTTCAACATTATCATCCTGTTTCATATCATAACTTCAACACTATCATCCTGTTTCACATCACAACTTCAACACTATCATCCTGTTGTACATCACAACTTCAACACTATCATCCTGTTGTACATCATAACTTCAACACTATCATCCTGTTGTACATCATAACTTCAACACTATCATGCTGTTGTACATCATAACTTCAACACTATCATGCTGTTGTACATCACAACTTCAACACTATCATGCTGTTGTACATCATAACTTCAACACTATCATGCTGTTGTACATCATAACTTTAACACTATTATCCTGTTGTACATCATAACTTCAACACTATCATGCTGTTGTACATCACAACTTCAACACTACCATCCTGTTTCACATTATAACTTCAGCACTACTATCCTGTTTCACATTATAACTTCAACACTACCATCCTGTTTCACATTATAACTTCAACACTACCATCCTGTTTCACATTATAACTTCAACACTGCAACCATGTTTTACATCATAGCTTCAACACTATCATCCTGTTTCATATCATAACTTCAACACTGCAGCCCTGTTTTACATCTCAACTTTTCGGGGGGAGGGAGGAGGAGGGGGGGGGGAGGGTGTGGGAGCTGAGTGGTCTTGAGGTATGATGTCCGCCTTGAGTGCTGGAGGTGTGACTGTTCTTCTCCTCATCCTCTGTATTTTCCTAGGGAGCTGCGTGGTCTCAAGGCATGGTGTCCGCCTCGAGTGCAAGAGAGTCCAGGTTCAGTCCTGGTAAAAGCTGGGATTTTTTTCATGTGGACTTATAGTAATTCCCCCTGGTTTCTGGGTAGTCAGATCGGACGCCAGTGTGTATTGTTGCGCACGTAAAAAATGCCTTGGCTGTTGAAAATCAAAAAGAGTAGCCTAATGGTGCTGCCCGTACAAAATTTGGAGTTGAAAATCTACCTAAAGTATTTCAGGATACTCGCCGGTGCTACAGAGCCTGTGTACTGCGCTGAGCTTTTTTGGACTCAGACTTGAGTTAGAAGAAGAGCCGAGCACTTATGTTTTACTACCCCTGTGCCATGATGTTGATCCATTGTTCAAACCTCAAACCTCAAGGATATGTTGATAGGTCTGTGTCACTGGCTGTTTTTCTCCTCATTCTCTGTCTAGCTAGGCCATCCAAGTATTTATTTCTTTGTATTCTTCTTGCTCGCATTCTATGACACTTAAATGTTTAGTTCGTGAATGTTTAATTAAGAATTGACAATCCCATAAGCGCTCCATCCCCATCTTCAGCAGCAGGTGAAAAGTTCCAATTCTGATGGCACCAGTATCAGTCCGATTGTATATCTGTCTCATTCTTTCCCCTGAGTGTTGAGCGTCGGCCAGATCCCCTGGTACTCCTCGCAGCGCCATTCTCCTTAGACAGTAAGGATTTGTCTGCACCTCTGTACTGTTCACTCGCTCCTAAAGGGCCGTTACACAATCTCACTTGTCATACATCAGTTCACCACCAAGTGGTGCAGAGCTGGCCAGTCTATCTGCCTGCTCATTTCCCAACACGCCGGCATAACCTGGAGAAAGTATCCAAAGGATGCTAAATACCCAAGCTTCTAAAGTGATGCTTGCCACTCTGCACGAGGCATGCCTGTCTCCACCTTTCTCAACATGTTCTGTGAGTCAGTTACAATCACGTCATGTGTGTACAGCTGATTCTCAAGCCAATGGAAGATAGCAGTGACTACCTCCACCTCCAATCTTAGTCTAGACATTGTGATGAATTCTCTGAATCTTGTCAATATTTATAGTTCTTAGTCTGAAAACCCAAAGGACCCTTCTCTACACCATCAGATCCATCGGTCATATAGGCCAGTTGAGTTAAAGTCAAGAATTGACATCACAGCACTCGTGACGTTCCCATGTGAGCTCCGTCCTCATCTTCAGCAGCTAGCGCAGAGTTCCAATACTGATGGTACTGGTCACAATCTGGTTATGTGTCCGTCTTGCATCTCCTTTAAGTGTAGTGAGGTGGCCAGACCCTCTGGTTACACCCAGGTGCCTCATTCTCTCCAGGCCATAATAATCTTCTTTCTCTACTGATTCCGTTGCTTGTTCTGAAAGGGGATTTGACCACATCTACCTTGTCATGTATCAATCGGGACTCAGTGAGTGATGTTATCTGTATCATGCCTGCCGCCTTTATTTCCCAGGACTTGACCTGGCAGCCATTTAAGGCTGGGTCCATCTAGATACCAAGGTCATTAAAAAAAAAAAGACAAAAAAATTTAAGGAAAAAAAAAAACCCCAACCTATGGCTGCTGCTTCTTCTTCTCTTCCACCTTGTACCTCAGCAAAGTGTCGGGGGGAGATGTACCATTCATTGATGAGCTCTGTCAAGAGTACTATTAAGACTGGTGTTCATTTCTGAAAGGCTGTTCTTAATGCCACCACTCCATATTTTCCAAGGTCTTCCACTCGCTCTATACCCGTTGTAACGTTTTAGTGTGGCTCGCTGTGGCAGATAGTACCAGGGCATTCTTGTTAGGTGTCCAAACCACTTCATTTGTTGTTCTTTGATGACCTACCTGTAAGACTGGCTTGATTTCTAGCATTCGTCTGATTTCATGAGTTTGTATTCTTCTTTCCTCGAAACACCTGCAGCTCTTCTAAGGCATTTCATCTCTGTTGTCACAATTTTTCATTCATTGGAGGAAGTAAGTGTCCACATTTGGCAATGACTTGCAATGTTTATTTACCTGACATTTTTTATTACCTGCAGATGACCGCTGTAGTGCCCACCCCTCTTCATCATCATCATGACCACCAGCGTCACCACTCATTCTTCATCGGTTCGTGGGGTCAGGGGCGGCACCCTGACCAGTTTGCCAATGTCCATGGACAGCTCGGGAATGTCTCCCAACACATCCACCTCGCTGCCTTCATCGCCCGTCTCAGTGACCGCCATGTCTGGCCTGCTCAGCTCCAGAAACTTGGTACAGGTGATCACCATATTCATCATCATCATCATCACCAACACAACCATAAGCATTTTCATCATCATCATCATCATCATCATCATCACCAACACAACCATAAGCATTTTCATCATCATCATCATCATCATCATCACCAACACAACCATCATCATCATCATCATCACCAACACAACCATAAGCATTTTCATCATCATCATCATCATCATCATCATCACCAACACAACCATAAGCATTTTCATCATCATCATCACCAACACAACCATAAGCATTTTCATCATCATCATCATCATCATCATCATCATCATCATCACCAACACAACCATAAGCATTTTCATCATCATCATCATCACATCATCATCATCATCATCATCACCAACACAACCATAAGCATTTTCATCATCATCATTTATTATTGTAACCACACTATTTATGACACTATCATCATCACCATCACCATCTGTTCTGTAAAGGACTGAGTTTCATTCTGACAAGCCTTTGATGGAAGCAATGTTCTATAAAGGACAGTTTCTTTCAGACAAGCCTGTGATGGAAGCAATGTTCTATAAAGGACAGTTTCTTTCAGACAAGGTTGTGATGGAAGCAATGTTCTATAAAGGACAGTTTCTTTCAGACATGGCTATGATGGAAGCAATGTTCCATAAAGAACAGTTCCTTTCAGACAAGCCTGTGATGGAAGCAATGTTCCATAAAGGACAGTTTCTTTCAGACATGGCTATGATGGAAGCAATGTTCCATAAAGGACAGTTTCTTTCAGACAATCCTGTGATGGAAGCAATGTTCTATAAAGGACAGTTTCTTTCAGACAAGCCTGTGATGGAAGCAATGATCTATAAAGGACAGTTTCTTTCAGACAATCCTGTGATGGAAGCAATGTTCTATAAAGGACAGTTTCTTTCAGACAATCCTGTGATGGAAGCAATGTTCTATAAAGGACAGTTTCTTTCAGACAAGCCTGTGATGGAAGCAATGTTCTATAAAGGACAGTTTCTTTCAGACAAGCCTGTGATGGAAGCAATGTTCTATAAAGGACAGTTTCTTTCAGACAAGCCTGTGATGGAAGCAATGTTCTATAAAGGACAGTTTCTTTCAGGCAAGCCTGTGATGGAAGCAATGTTCTATAAAGGACAGTTTCTTTCAGACAAGCCTGTGATGGAAGCAATGTTCCATAAAGGACAGTTTCTTTCAGACAATCCTGTGATGGAAGCAATGTTCCATAAAGGACAGTTTCTTTCAGACAAAGTTGTGATGGAAGCAATGTTCTATAAAGGACAGTTTCTTTCAGACAAAGTTGTGATGGAAGCAATGTTCTATAAAGGACAGTTTCTTTCAGACAAAGTTGTGATGAAAGCAATGTTCTATAAAGGACAGTTTCTTTCAGACAAGCCTGTGGTGGAAGCAATGTTCCAGAAAGAACACTTTCTTTCAGACATGGCTATGATGGAAGCAATGTTCTATAAAGGACAGTTTCTTTCAGACAAAGTTGTGATGGAAGCAATGTTCTATAAAGGACAGTTTCTTTCAGACAAAGTTGAGATGGAAGCAATGTTCTATAAAGGACAGTTTCTTTCAGACAAAGTTGTGATGGAAGCAATGTTCTATAAAGGACAGTTTCTTTCAGACAAAGTTGTGATGGAAGCAATGTTCTATAAAGGACAGTTTCTTTCAGACAAGCCTGCGGTGGAAGCAATGTTCCATAAAGGACACTTTCTTTCAGACATGGCTATGATGGAAGCAATGTTCCATAAAGGAAAGTTTCTTTCAGACATGGCTATGATGGAAGCAATGTTCTATAAAGGACAGTTTCTTTCAGACAAAGTTGTGATGGAAGCAATGTTCTATAAAGGACAGTTTCTTTCAGACAAAGTTGTGATGGAAGCAATGTTCTATAAAGGACAGTTTCTTTCAGACAAGGTTGTGATGGAAGCAATGTTCTATAAAGGACAGTTTCTTTCAGACAAGGTTGTGATGGAAGCAATGTTCTATAAAGGACAGTTTCTTTCAGACAAGGTTGTGATGGAAGCAATGTTCTATAAAGGACAGTTTCTTTCAGACAAAGTTGTGATGGAAGCAATGTTCTATAAAGGACAGTTTCTTTCAGACAAAGTTGTGATGGAAGCAATGTTCTATAAAGGACAGTTTCTTTCAGACATTGTTGTGATGGAAGCAATGTTCTATAAAGGACAGTTTCTTTCAGACAAAGTTGTGATGGAAGCAATGTTCTATAAAGGACAGTTTCTTTCAGACAAGGTTGTGATGGAAGCAATGTTCTATAAAGGACAGTTTCTTTCAGACAAAGTTGTGATGGAAGCAATGTTCTATAAAGGACAGTTTCTTTCAGACAAAGTTGTGATGGAAGCAATGTTCTATAAAGGACAGTTTCTTTCAGACAAGGTTGTGATGGAAGCAATGTTCTATAAAGGACAGTTTCTTTCAGACATGGCTATGATGGAAGCAATGTTCTATAAAGGACTGAGATTCTTTTAGACAAGGCTGTGATATAAACAATGTTCTTTGAAGGACTGAGTTTCTTTCAGGCATGGCTGTAATGGAACCTATATTGTGTAAAGGATCTGCTACATTATGATATAGCTATATTCCCAATATTTTTTGTCCCCTTTGTTGTAACTTTTGTTCACAATATTTAATAAAATTGTTATTTCTGTGTCATTCTTAACAATATGTTGATTATTCTTTTTATATGCTCGTCGCGTATCGGAAGGTCGAGGGTTCACTCCCTGGCGGAGCTGGACTTTTTCCAAAAATGACCTTGGCTCCCAGGTCGACCCAGCCTTGAGTGGGTACCGGGTGCAGACCCGGGAAAGTAAAGGCGGCCGGAATGATGCTGACCACATCACCCATCTTGTGCCGATTGGTCTATAAAAATATAGGTCTAGCCCTATACGCCCATTACGCCTAAGGGGCGTGGAAAAGGATCCTTTACTTTTTTTAAAAAATATTTTAAAATAATTTCCTTTACAGTTTCTCTTGTGTTTTTTTGTAAGTGCAGTTTAGATATTTCTGGTTGCTGTGCTAATTATATTTACAATTTTTTATGTGGCTGTTTTCTATAGGATGAGAAGCTTGTGGTAGCAACTTTGGCCACCCTCAACTCTGGAAGTGCCAGCAGCCTTATCAAGCAGGACCTCAAGTGGATCATTCAGTCTCGGCGGAAAGCGGAGGGAAAAGCGGAGCTACAGGTGGAGTTTAAGAAACCTGTTAAAGATGAGGTAAATGAGAAACTAGCTGGCATGATGTAGGCGTGCTTATATGTTCAGATGAACACAAGTGTTTGATGTAGCAGTAATGATGCTGAAAAATGAGTTAGTGAAGCATCAGTGCTTCTTCTCCTCCTCCAGTTGCCTCACCGAGGTGTTGGTGGGAGATGAAAGGATCCTCTGTGTGCTCTTTTGTGTTATTGGGAGATGTAAGGATGCTCTGTGTGCTCTCTCTTATGTGTTGGTGGGAGATGTAAGAATCCTCTGTGTGCTCTCTCTTATGTGTTGGTGGGAGATGTAAGGATCCTCTCTATGCTCTCTCTTATGTGTTGGTGGGAGATGTAAGGATCCTCTCTATGCTCTCTCTTATGTGTTGGTGGGAGATGTAAGGATCCTCTCTATGCTCTCTCTTATGTGTTGGTGGTAGATGTAAGGATCCTCTCTATGCTCTCTCTTATGTGTTGGTGGGAGATGTAAGGATCCTCTGTGTGCTGTCTCTTATGTGTTGGTGGGAGATGTAAGGATCTTCTCTATGCTTTCTCTTATGTGTTGGTGGGAGATGTAAGGATCCTCTGTGTGCTCTCTCTTTATGTGTTGGTGGTAGATGTAAGGATCCTCTCTATGCTCTCTCTTATGTGTTGGTGGTAGATGTAAGGATCCTCTGTATGCTGTCTCTTATGTGTTGGTGGGAGATGTAAGGATCCTCTGTGTGCTCTCTCTTATGTGTTGGTGGGAGATGTAAGGATCCTCTGTGTGCTCTCTCTTATGTGTTGGTGGGAGATGTAAGGATCCTCTCTATGCTCTCTCTTATGTGTTGGTGGGAGATGTAAGGATCCTCTCTATGCTCTCTCTTATGTGTTGGTGGGAGATGTAAGGATCCTCTGTGTGCTGTCTCTTATGTGTTGGTGGGAGATGTAAGGATCCTCTGTGTGCTGTCTCTTATGTGGTGGTGGTAGATGTAAAGATCCTTTGTGTGCTGTCTCTTATGTGTTGGTGGGAGATGTAAGGATCCTCTGTGTGCTGTCTCTTATGTGTTGGTGGGAGATGTAAGGATCCTCTCTATGCTCTCTCTTATGTGTTGGTGGGAGATGTAAGGATCCTCTCTATGCTCTCTCTTATGTGTTGGTGGGAGATGTAAGGATCCTCTGTGTGCTGTCTCTTATGTGTTGGTGGGAGATGTAAGGATCCTCTCTATGCTGTCTCTTATGTGTTGGTGGGAGATGTAAGGATCCTCTGTGTGCTCTCTCTCTTATGTGTTGGTGGGAGATGTAAGGATCCTCTGTGTGCTCTCTCTTATGTGTTGGTGGGAGATGTAAGGATCCTCTCTATGCTGTTTCTTATGTGCTGCTTAAGTTGATCTTCATTTCTTTAAGGCTGTTCTTGATGCCATCATTCTATAGGTCCCCTGATCTTCTTCTTGCTCTATGCCGATTGTACTTGTTCAATCTGGCTCTCCATTTTTTTTCAGATGCCCAGATCATCTCACATTTGATGCTCGATAATGAATTCAGTCAGTAGGCAACCATCAGTTCCTGTGGACCATGGAGTTGTGCCATTGGTTCTGGGAACAGCATCTGCTATGAATGTAAATTCTAATGCAGTGTTTCCCAAGCCTTTCTTGGTCGCAACGCCTTTTTTTTCAATAAAAAAAAATGTTCACGGCACTTAAACCTAGGTAAAAGTATGACTATTCATGTCTTGGTTAAATTAATTATGAAGCTTTTACAAAATTTTGCGGCGCCCCTGTGAAGAGGTCGTGGCTCTTCGTGGCACTCAGTTTAGGAATCACTGGTCTAACAATAAAGTGGCAGTCTCTGCTACCTCGTCCATTTAAAAACCTTGAAACGCCTTCGATATATTATGTGTCCCGATACAACAAATACTTTTTCTTCAGGAAGGTTTTAGCTGTGTCCTGTTGCAGTAAATAAATTCTGAGGCTGGTTTTTTTTCTCTCCCAGACATCTCCTCTCTATTGCTTGCTGCCTTTGGTCTCTTTCACACTGCGACAGTTCATCTTTCACTGTCTGCTTCCAAGGGAGTCGGTCTGCAGCTGATCTCTCTCAGATGTCTGTGTCACTGTTGACACCTTTCAGGTCACTTGCGCATAAGTCCTTATAGAGTAGCTTTGGCCTTTCTGCAGTTCTTATTCCTTTCACCAGTTCAACATACAGGAGATCCTTTTGGAATGTGACCGTCGTTTCATGTGAGAGAATGTCCCAACCAGTGCAGGTGTCGTTGCTTTGTTTTAATGATTTGTATGCCTAATTTTGGGTCTAGTCTGACAATTGAGGATAAATTGAGGACCATGTGGATTTTGGAGCCGCATTGGGGATTGGGGGGGGGGGGTATATAAATGCACTGCCCCCCCCCCCTAAATGACAAATTTTTTGGGGGGATTTGGGGAATTCTGGTGGTTTAGGCCAAAGAGAGCAAATGTCACAGCCTAGCTGAACCACAACACAACATGCACCCTCTGTCCCTATCCAGAATATTCAGACCCCCGAAAGAGTCAGTGTAGGAAAAGAAGTGTAGCATCAGTGTTTAATGTAGCAGAGATGATATTATATATTAAAGGCTTTGTTTAGTGTGAGCTCATAGTTTGTGAATAATTCTGAGGTCGTAGGTTGTAAAGTGTAAAAGTAATTCTGAGGTCACAGTCTTAAGAATGTTCCATACTAGTAAGTCTAAACTCATAGTCTCTAGAGTGTACCAGAAGGTCCAAGGTCATAGCCTCTAGAGTGTACCAGAAGGTCCAAGGTCATAGCCTCTAGAGTGTACCAGAAGGTCCAAGGTCATAGCCTCTAGAGTGTACCAGCAGGTCCAAGGTCATAGCCTCTAGAGTGTACCAGAAGGTCCAAGGTCATAGCCTCTAGAGTGTATCAGAAGGTCAAAGATCATAGCCTCTAGAGTGTACCAGAAGGACTAAGTTCATAGTCTGTAGGGTGTAGCAGAAGGACTAAAGTCATGGTCTGTGGAGTGTAACAGGACTAAAGTCATAGCCTGTAGAGTGTAGCAGAAGGTCTAAGGTCATAGTCTGTAGAGTGTAGCAGAAGGATTAAGGTCATAGTCTGTAGAGTGTTAACAGAAGGACGTCATAGCTGTAGAGTGTAGCAGAAAGATGTCATAGCCTGTAGAGTGTAACAGAAGGACTAAGGTCATGGTCTGTAGAGTGCAGCAGAAGGTCTAAGGTCATAGTCTGTAGAGTGCAGAAAAAGGATTAAGGTCATAGTCTGTAGAGTGTTAACAGAAACACTAAGGTAATAGTCAGCAGAGTGTAACAGAAGGTCTAAGGTCATAGTCTGTAGAGTGTAGCAGAAGGACTAAGGTCATGATCTGTAGAGTGTAGCAGAAGGACTAAGGTCATAGTCTGTAGAGTGTAGCAGAAGGACTAAGGTCATAGCCTGTAGAGTGTAGCAGAAGGACGTCATAGCCTGTAGAGTGTAGCAGAAGGTCTAAGGTCATAGTCTGTAGAGTGTAGCAGAAGGATTAAGGTCATAGTCTGTAGAGTGTAGCAGAAGGACTAAAGTCATAGTCTGTGGAGTGTACTAGAAGGACTAAGGTCATAATCTATAGAGTGTACTAGAAGGTTTAAGGTCATTGTCTGTAAACAGTTGTTGGAATGCAAGCAACAGATATGTCTCTATTTCTGTCTGTCATAGCAGCTGACATCCGAGGAGATCATGAAGCGCGCCAGGAGGCGAGAGCTGAACCGTTTAGCTGCACGCCGCTCCCGGGAAAAAGGGCAGAAGCGCAAAGATTTACTTGTCGAGGTAAAAAAATCAAATGGTTTTTCTATAAGATAAAGAGGTAATATTGATATATGATGTTTTACAAAGAAGCAATAAGCTATGTACTTTTTTTATAAAGATATCAAGTGGGATGTTATTCACAGTCAACAATTCTTTTTTTTTCATCTTCATTCACCAGCTTTAATTTCTAGTGGAAAGTTCTGGTTGTTGATCCGTCTAGACTTTGGCTTTGGGTCAGAGCCTGAGTTTTTATGTACATCTGCTTTACTGGCTTATTTGTGTGCAGCTGGTTGTTCCTTGCCATTTCTTGATCACCCTGACTTGGAAGGAAGCCCCCAATTAGTCGTCTCCAACAACATGATTGTTTGGGAGGCAGAATGGGGCCCTGCAACCCCAGTTTGACAATGTTGAGACTGTTTTTATTATGGCCAGCACAAACATGCTGTACATCAAGCAAAGTATGTCGTCCAAACAGGCACTGAAGATTTAGCCAAACTGAAACACCATGTGGTCAGCAGATGATAAATAACCCGCTATTTTTCAGTTGAATTTTTGAGACAAATATATAATGTTATAAAATTCTACACCATATTCTTCAGCCACGGCCCTTGCAGTCAGGCATTGGTCTTTGTGTCACCAAGAGGACAAGACGTTTTATTAATCAACACAGAATAGGCGTCATCAGTCATTTTACACTTGTGGAGCTTTTGAGGAGGAGATCGGAGCACATATGGATCTGTCCGGAGTGCTGTGATGATAATCCTTTCTAATCACTAATCACTTTTGGTCTTTGTTTTTCGGTTCTCTGATGTTGCCAGTTTGACTTTGTCATTACAAACAAAAATATGACATCACAGCCTAGCTTCATCTCCAGTTTTTTTCCACATGAGTTTTGAATTGAGAATACCACATAAATCATCAAGTACCTTGTCAGCTGGCGTAGGCGTTCATGCATTTCCAAAGATCTTGGTCTTCGGTGTCCTGGATCAATTCTACTGATGATATTCCTCCATGCCACTGTCTTAAGTCATCCACCATCATTTCTCTTGGTCTGCCTCTGCCTCTTCTACCAGTGATCTTTCCAGTCATCACAATGTTTTCTAGTGCTTCTTTTCACATGACTAAAGAGCTTTGTCTCCTTCTCTTTGTTGTAAATAAAGTTTTATTTTCCCTAGCCATTTCCAGGCAATCATTGTTAATTATTCTGGCAGTCTGAGATATTCAGACACACTTCTCAAGAACCACATCGCAGTTGCTTCGAAACCTTCGTAATTTGTTTGCTCACATTCCAAGATTCACTACCATACAACAGAACAGGCTCGATATAACATTTAAATACTCATTTTCTGATGCCTAATGAGAATGATTTATAAATATCTTTGCCCAAGAAACACATAAACTTATCTCATCAGCTCAACTGTTTCAATAGCACTGTTTCTGAATTAAAAACAGGATTTAATGTTTGCTCTTTGCTTCATGCTGCATAGGTAACAAGTCAAATCTCACTAGTTGAACCAAATAGTAGGTTATTTAGGGATTGCTTGCCAGGCGGCAGTTTGGCCAAATTGTAGATGAATGATGCCTGTTTGGATGACATGCTTCACTTCATGGGTGGCATTTTTATTTTGGCCAGAATAAAAATCTGTCTCCTTATAAAATTGCCGGACTGCATTTTAGATAAGTTAAAATTAGTTACGTCCCTTTACCGGACATTGAAGAACCAACCCAAGCATTTTTTGGCCGTTGTGGTTTTTCTAAACAAGTTTACATCCTGTAGTTTGCCATTGCTTTCTGGACGGTCGGCTTCTCGATACCACTGTCGAAACCAGCGCAAGGTGCAAAGCCTGCAGCTGGGATTGAACCTGGCACCCTGGCATTATGAAGCATGTTTGTAATACCTGAGCCACAGATAGAACTAATATTTAGCTGTAAGATTATAGAAACAAACAATGTGAGATGTATTATCATAGAAAGATGTAATTTTTTAATATTGTGGAAAGAAGCCATTTCATATATAATATTTTAGTGAAAGGAGATATGTATGTAAGGTTTTAGGAGACAGCAATATAATATGTGATATTTTGGAAAGAAGCTATGTCAGACACAATATTTTAGACAGAAGTAAAATCAGCTGTGAGATTTTAGACAATATGAAGTGTGGCATTTTAGAAATAATCAGTTTAAGATGAAAGAAGAATATTAGGTGTCATATTTTAGAAAGAAGTATCATGAGATGTGATATTTAAAAAAAAAGCAATAAATGTAATATTTCAGAAAGAAGCAATATAAGATCAGATGTTTTAGAAAGTAACAATTTTTAAATGTGAAGTAACAATTTTTAAATGTGATATTTCAGAAAGGAGCAATATAAGATCAGATGTTTTAGAAAGCAACAATTTTTAAATGTGAAGTAACAATTTTTAAATATGATATTTCAGAAAGGAGCAGTATAAGATCAGATGTTTTAGAAAGTAACAATTTTTAAATGTGAAGTAACAATTTCAGAAAGGAGCAGTATTATGTGTGATATTTTAGAAAGGCAGATGTTTTTACTATTTTAGTAAGAAGCAATATGAGATGTGATATTTCAAAAAGAAGCAAAAAGATGTGTAATGTTTTTGAAAGAAGCAATATCAGGTGTGCTGTCTGAGAAAGAAGTGGTTTGAAAAATATATTTTATTTTGAAAAAAGCACTATCTCCCTGTTCACATCCTCTTTTACAGCTTCAGATGTCAGAGAGGTGGTTTTGGGGGGGGGGGGGTAGATAAGGTACTCCTTCTTGCTCTTCTGGTCGCCTTGACTATACATGCAACCTGGTATTGTAGAGAGCAGGGCTATTCAACTAGTGGGCCACCGGCCAAATCTGGCTGGCCAAGGCCTAGCAAGTGGCCTGCGGATCACCGCTAGCTGTATTGCATTTATGGTCTTTCTATGCTATGCTGGGGTTGGGGCTTCTGGCCCGTGACGATCCCTTTTGAACATTTTGGCTCCTGAGTCAACTTACTTGAATAGCCCTGGTATAGAGTTTCTTTGACATTATCTTTCCACCTTGTTCTTGGTCTGCCTTGTGCTGTATGCCCTTCTCATATTTTAGTGTATGCCTTGCATGGTATGATATGGCATCACAAGGCATTCTCTCTAAGAGGTCAAACCATTTGATTTGCTATCTTTGTATGTAACTTAGAATTGGTTCCTTGCTGACATTTTTTCCTGTGACCTCATTCTTGATTTGATCTTCTCCGATCACTTCTGCGGCCCGTCTCTGACAACTCATTTCCATGACTACTAATTGTTTTTCTGGTTTTTTGTGAGGGACTATGTTTGGCACTGGTAGTATAGGGTTGGAATGAATATGTTTTGTATCAGATGTTTCTTTGTTAAGAGGAGGGCTAGCTGTCCTAGTACTTTTTAAAGCATTTGAAATATATTTTAGAAAGAAAAAAATATGAGACATGATATTTTACAAAGTAACAATATGAGAAATGATATTTTAGAAAGAAACAATATGAGATAAGATATTTTAGAAAGAAACAATATGAGACATAATATTTTAGAAAGAAACAATATGAGGTATGATATTTTAGAAAGAAATAATATCAGATATGATATTTTAGAAAGAAACAATATGAGACATAATATTTTAGAAAGAGACGATATGAGGTATGATATTTTAGAAAGAAATAATACGAGATATGATATTTTAGAAAGAAAGAATATGAGACACAATATTTTAGAAAGAGACGATATGAGGTATGATATTTTAGAAAGAAACGATGTGGGATATGATATTTTAGAAAGAAACACTATGAGACATGATATTTTAGAAGGAGACGATACGAGGTATGATATTTTAGAAAGAAATGATGAGAGATATGATACTTTTTAAAGAAACACTATGAGACGTGATATTTTAGTAAGAAACAATATGAGACGTGATGTTTTAGAAAAAAGCAATATGAGGTGAGACATTTCAGAAAGAAACGATCTGAAGTGAGAGAGTTTAGAAAGAAGCAATATTAGCTGTGATATTTTATAAATAAGCAAAATTAGATGTGATATTTTAATTTAAAAAAGTCAAATTAGGCGTCAGATTGGAGATAGAAGTAATATTAGAGATATTCTAATGTTATTAAAGCACTATTGAGAAATTCTAATGTTACTAAAACACTACTGAGATATTGTAAATGAAAAGTCTACTCAGATGTTGTAGCTGGCAGCTAGTATGAGACATTCTTCACATAAGGAAGTACTAATGTATTGTCCGCCCCCTGTTGTTCTATGCTTGGTCTGGTTTCTTCTTCTTCTTTAGCATTCCGAGCCCTAGAGGTTCATTGCTGCAGTTATCACCCGCCTCCATTCATCTCTCTGGTTAGCTTTCTCTTTCCAGTTGGTGACACCAAGTGTTTGCAGGTCTGTACGACCATTCATCTCCCTGGTGTATATAGTTTTTACTTCTCTGTCATCTGACATTCTTTCAATATGCCCCAACCATTTCAGTCTATTAGATCTCATGATGCCAATGATCAATGGTGATTTAAACAGATTATGAATTTCATTAATGCTTCTCACTCTCCATTCCCAGCTGTTTGCATCTTTGATGGGTCCAAAGATTCGTCATAAAACTCTGTTTTCAAAGACCTGTAGTAAGGCTTCATCTCTTCTAGTTTTGCTCCAAGTTTCATAGCCGTATAAAACGGCAGTTCTCATCAATGTTTTATCTATTTTGATCTTGGTGTTGCGAGACAGACACTTTGACTTTAGCAGATATTGAACTGCATAGTATACTTTATTTCCAGATTGTATTCTAGATATTATTTCTTCTCTCAGCATGTTGGAGCAGTTGAAGTTTGCACCCAGGTACTTATATGTTTCAGTTTGTTTAATTTTCAAACTTTGGCCTGGTTTAACTTGGTTTATTTCCAACAGGAAATTCGCAAACTGCAGTCTGAGAACTCTGAATTGGTAAACATTCTAGGAGACCTGACAGAAGAGAGGGACAACATCATTTTCATCTTGAGGCAACACATGAAACAGTGTTCGGACTACAAAGCCACACAGAGTGCAGCAATCGGAGTGTCTCAGAAGGTGCTGGACTTACTGGGCTTCCCTTTGCTGTCTGCAAGTGAAGCACAAGTTCAGGACGTGTCGGATCTCTACATCAACACAGGGGATAGCTGCTCGTCCCACTCACAGTCCCAGAGCCCTTGCGTTGTTGTCAAGCAGGAAAAGTGTGATTTCTCCAGCTGTCCTGTTTCACCTGTGATGGCTGGGGTCGGCACCCAGCTCATGATTGTCAATGATACATCTATGCCAGGTGGCAGCATTATTTATGATGAATCATCATCATCATTCACCAGTCACAACATCTTTAGTCCAGAGAGTCCTCCAGCAAAGTATTCCTTCCCACTTGGCAATCTCCAGTTTGATTCCCCACCAATATCCTGTGCTGTTCCATTACCACCACCACCACCACCACCACGGAGTTGCGCCCAAAGTCTTGAGGCAGCCAGTTCTAACGTGGATACTTCTGACCAACAAGAAATTATCCAGTACAAGCACAAGCTCATGAAATACAGAAAACACTTCTCCCAAGCTTCACAGTCATCCTTTGCAGGCAGCCGAGGCAGTCGTGCCAGCTTGGAACGCAGCTTTTCTTTTCCATGTACGGTCAGAGAATCTAGGTCAAACTTCAGTTCACCTGCTGTCTCGGAGTCTTACAAGCTAGAACCATACAAGCTGGAACCATGTAAACCAGATGTCATGACCTTACCTCAAGACCCCACAGCAAACCTGGCATTGGCTTCAGACAAAACAGAGGAATCAGTGGGCTGCCCACTTAATTTGGCAGTTAGAAAAACACCCAGCACGCCGGATAGTGATCGGGAGAAAATGTTTACTGTGAACCCAATGGATACCTGGCCACCGGCTGGGATGAGATCCATGCCATTCCGAAACCTTGAACGGAGATGGTCAGTTGATCACTCCCTCCCTGAGCCGCTAAACCTCAGCAGCAAGGTCAGGTCAGAGGTCAAGGGCCATCACCTAACGGAGATGACCCCCAGAAATAACCCAGGCCAACAGAGAAGAGACAGTAGGCATTCCGAATTTAGTGTGGACACCTACAGATAGCATTAACTGTTCTTAGTGTCTTCCCATGAGTCAACATCTTGTGTAGCTTGCTGGGACTTGAACTTGATGTCTAGGAATCTGGTGGGCGAGTTATCCAGGCATGTGGTGGAGTTTTTTTATTGTTTAACCTCAAACATTTGCTGACAGTGACTTGATTTGTGGATTGTTTGCATTTGTTTCAATAGACAGTAGCTTTACATGTGGATTGTATCCATTTGTTTCAATGAAAAGTGGCTTGATAAGTGGATTGTGTCTATTTGTTTCAATAGAAAGTGACTTAATAAGTGGATCGTGTCCATTTGTTTCACATAGAAAGTGGCTTGATGCGTGGATTGAATCCCTTTGTTTCACATAGAAAGTGGCTTGATGTGCGGATTGAATCCATTTGTTTCATATAAAATGTGGTTTGACATGTGGATGTGTCCATGCTAAATGCACAAATTTTGTTCATGCAAATTATAGGCAGCTTCATATTGGTTTTCCTGAGAATTCATGCAGTGAATCTTCTCATGGTTTCATTGTTTTTTCTCACTGCTCTTGTATTTTTTCTCATTGCTGCATTATTTATTTGTATCACTCCAACGCTTAGTTGTTTCTTGTTGTACAAGTGATTGTTCTCATAGTTTTAATGTTTATTCGAATTATTCTGGTGTTGTTTCTCATTGTTTCAATGTTTATTCTCATTATTCTGGTATTGTCTTGGTTTGTTTCCTCATTGTTACATTGTTTCTTCTCATGGTTTCAATGCTTTTTTCACTGTTCCAGTGTTTGTTCTCATGGTTTCAATATTTATCTAATTGTTCTGGTGTTTATTCTCATTGCTGTATGGTTTATTCTCATTACTGCAGTATTTTGTTATTTCTTCTTGAACCGGTTATTGTTCTCATAGTTTCAGTTGGTTTTTTTTGTTTTTGTTTTTTTCTCATTACTCTAAGGTTCGTTTTCATGGTTTTGATAGTTACTGTCTTTGTTCTGGTGTTCTCCTGGTTTTACTCTGTTTTTTCATTGTTCCAGTATTTGTTTTCATGGTTTCAGTTTTTATTTCATTGTCCTGGTGTGTTTATTCTCATTGCTGCATTTGCTTATTCTTATTACTCAAATGTTTCTTTTTCTTATTGCTCCAGTGTTTGTTCCCATGGTCTGAATATTTATTTTCACTGTTCTGGTCTTCTCATTGTTTATTCTCATTGTTCCAGCACTTCCATTTATGGTTTCATTTTTTTTCTCCATTTATTTCAGTTTTTCTTCTTATGGTTTTAATGTTTTTTTTAGTAATGTTCCAGTATTTGTTCTCATGGTTTTAGTATTTATTCTAACTGCTGCGGTGTTTCTTCTCATGGTTTAAATGTTTATTCTTATTATTCCAGTGTTTCTACTCTTTAAAATATTTATTTTCATTGTGCCAGTGTTCATTTACATGGTTTGAATGTTTATCTCATTGTTCTGATTTTTATTCTCACTGTTGCATTATTTATTCTCATTATGTTTGATTTGTTTCTTGTTTTTCTGGTGTTTATTATTATGATTTCAGTATTTATCATCAGTGTTCTGGTGTTCTCATGGTTTCACTGTTTATTCTCATTGTTCTGGAGTTTGTTCTCATTGCTGCATTGTTTTTTCTATTTTTGTTTGCTCCAGTGTTGTTCTCATGGTTTCAGTGTGTGTTTTTTCTTATTACTCCAGTGTTGTTGTCATTGCTTTGTTTATTCTCATTTTTCAGATGCTTATTTTTGTGATTTAAATGTTTATTCTCATTCTTCTGGTGTTTGCAGCATTGTTTATTCTCATTGTTCCAATATTTGTTCTTGTTGTTTCAATTATCTGTGTTGTTACTACAATATATTGGCTGTGCTTGCCTGACGTACCTGGCACAACACTTGAGGTGGTTTCACTCTAGGGAATGGGTCACTCTTCTTGCTGTGAAGTGTCCTAATTGTCAGGTGTTTTTGTGATGCAGAAATTCAGGAATCCATGTTGTATTTTTGTTTCATTTCATTCAGATCTTTGTCATCTTTACATGTAACCTCAGACAAATAAACTGTGGCATTTGTGCCATGGTTGTTATCATTGTTAGAATAAAAGGGTTTTGTAGTTAGTAGCAGAAATGAGTTGTACTTTGTTGTATATCAGTTTGTGGTGGAGTTTGTTGTATATTAGTTTCTTGTGGAGTTTGTTGTATATCAGTTAGTGGTGGCATATGTGGTGGAGTTTGTTGTATATCAGTTTGTGGTGGAGTTTGTTGTATATCAGCTTCTGGTGGAGTTTGTTGTATATCAGTTTCTGGTGGAGTTTGTTGTACATCAATGGAGTTTGTTGTATATCTGTTAGTGGTGGTGTGCGTGGTGGAGTTTGTTGTATACCAGTTAGTGGTGGTGTCTGTTGTATATCAGTTTGTGGTGGAGTTTGTTGTATATCATTTAGTGATTGATTGAAGCTATACGTTGTGCTTTAGTTAGTGACACAGTGGAACTGTACTTTTGCTGTGCATCAGAATACTATTAGTTTAGGATGTGTAGTGAAAGTTGTTCAGTTGTTACATTATTTGAAGTTAGAGTTGCTCAATTGTTGTACTGTGTGAAGTGAGAGTTGTTCGATTGTTCCATTGTGTGAAGGAAATTTGTTCAGTTGTTATATTATGGGTCATGAGAGTTGTTGAGTTGTTACACTGTGAATAGAGATTTTTGAAATTATTACATTATGTGTAAAAATTATGGTAAACGGTGAACTTTGGTGGCAGCATTGTACCCATATTTTTTGTGTGTGTATATCTCATATCTCTCTAGTTTCTGTCATCTCATAGGCATACCAGCTAGTACTCATTTTTGTCATCGAAGCACGCCAGACAGGACTGTCCTTTCTGTCATATAAACACCTTACCAGCTAGAATTGTCATTTTTTTCATTGATACATCAGCTAGCAATAACTAGTCATTAGTCAAGGCTGCAACTTCACTGCAAATGGTTCACCCCATATTTACTCTACTCTTGTACAAAATTTCCTTCGCTGCTCCAGTTGCAAACTAGTCTGCTTCATTTTAGCTTTCACCTGCTGCAAATTCTGGCAGAAAGTTGTCGTCATTCATCACTGTCTTGACTGTGACCATGTTCCATAACGAGTTTTGTATGCACATAAGTTTTACAGATATATTTTTTATTTTTGTGCAGACTACTGGTTCCTTGCCTCTCAGGTAGATGCACTCTGACTTAAAAATGAAACACCCACAATTAGTTGCCTTTTATGCCATGCTTGTTAGGCAGCAGGGGAGCTAGTGTGGTTTCCCACACAGTTGACCCTGGAAGCCACATGGGGATGAAAACTAGTGAAACTTGTATTATCCTTGCAAGATCTGGAAGCTAGCACATGTAAAGTAAATGCATAAGGCAGCTAGCTGTAAGATGTGCCAACACTGATAGTCTTCTATATATATATATATATATATACACACACATACAAACACATTAGCTAGGACTTTCCATAATGTCCTATATATACACACACACACATATGACTGACTGACTTTCTACCCCACTAGGACATCACACAAGCGATAAACACCCGATGACACAAAGTGCCACCATGTGGATGAGGATCGCCGTGGAGAGGTCCCAGAAACCGCGTTCAGACAATTGGCCATATTGATGGCCTGCCTATATTGCGGCCCCTGGCAAAAGCCAGAGTGGGGCTTCAAATAACAAAAAATTACGTCCTGAAAAGGACGTAAAGGAGAAGGAGATTAAACACATATGAGTTAGAACCATCCTTTCTGTCATATAAACACACTAACTAAAATTGTATGTATATCATATTAATATGCCATCCTTTCTGTCATTCAAGGTCCAACAATTAGATAATGTGACTAATTCCATTAAAATTAAAATAATCAACAGTGAAAGAAATGACTTGTATCTGATTCAAAGTAAGCCCCTTGTGCATTGATACAGCAAGTGGCACGATCTAACAAACATTGGAACAACTTCTGTAGTTCTTCTGTTGTTATGGCCATTAAAGTCGATGTTACGGCCCTTGGATGTCATTAGTATCGTTAAAGAAGCGTTCTTTCAATTGTAACTTTAATTTTGGGAATATAAAATAATGACAGGGAGACAAATCTGGGGAATAGGGTGGAAGGCTGAGAACGCATACTTGTTTTTGGGCCAATAATTCTTGTTTTGATGATTTCTCTTGGGTACTCAACCCGCTGATAATTTTGGTCATCAGACAACAAATGTGGTACAAACCGGCAAGCAATGTTTTTGTGGGCCAAAATCTTCACTAAAATGTTATGAATGGTCTCTCTATTAAGACCAGATTCATCTGCCATCATCCTCACAGTAAAACAATGATCTTCCTGTATCTGTTCTCTGAATTTTGCAGTGAGTTCATCATTACGAACAGAAATTTGTAGTCCAATCTAGGTGCATTAGTAATCATTTTCCACACCACTTTTGAATCGTGAATATCACCTGAAAATGTGTGTACAAAATGAAGAATTAGCCCCACAAACTTGTTGTATTAATTCATCTGTTTCAATTGCGCTTTTTCTGAGTTTAAAAAAGAATTTAATGTTAGCTTTTTGCTCTACTTTGATTTCGTAACAATGCACCTCTGATGGGTCAACAAAATGGCGGCTTTTTTGTTGACTGCTTATCGGGTGGCGATAAAAAGTTGCCAGATCATAGATAAATGTTGCCTCTTTAGATTCCATGCTTTGCTTCATAGATGGCCTTTTTGTCTTGACCATAATAAAATTAGTCTCGTTACTTAATTGTTGGACCTTGAACAAACACACTAAGATTGTTTTCATATCATATTAATATGATATTTTCTGTCATACAAACACACTAAGATTATCTTTATATCATATTAATATGCCATCCTTTCTGTCATACAAACACACTAACTAAGATTGTCTTTATATCATATAATATGCCATCCTTTCTGTCATACAAACACACTAAGATTATCTTTATAACATATTAATATGCCATCCTTTCTGTCAT